CCTGGCATATTTTTTTTCACACTTAAAACACTAACCAGAGACAAACAATTTAATGATCATCTTGTAAAGCGATGTTTTAGAATCATATCAGCAGGGAAATCAGTGTGCTAAGAATGTTGTTAAGCGTGTTTCCCAGGCGGTAAAATAATTGAAGGTGTTTATTGGGAATTTGTCATGAGAACATTAACTGACTTAAGACAGTATTGCCCTGGGGGGAAAAATGTTTTGAACTTCACTTGGACAGAATTTTTGGACCTGGTGTAATTATTTAGATATTTTTCCTAAAGTTAAAAACAAAACCAAACAAACACACACACACACAAAAAAAGGCCTTTTCTGTGGCCATGAAATATTCCTGAGAAAACCAAATGCAGATTTATTCTAAATAAGTACAAATGTATCCACTAATGGTTTCTGAAGTGCAAGTACAAGTACACTGATACAAGTACAGTTCTAAGATAGAAGGGATTGCCCCCACCCCTGCAGGGATGTAACGTCCTTAGATTTTTTTTCCTCTTAAATACAGTTTACCACCACCTTGGGATACTCCCATCAGAGTAAGACCATGGTCTTGGGTGCCTTTGGGGACTGACTGTCACTGGGAAGTACTCACTAAGCAGTGGCAGAAAGCAATATCCATTTTCATCTGAGGCTGTCCAAAGATCCATGTTTTGTCAATTAATAAATTTTAATTAACAGGTGCTACTGCACTAAGTGGTCATTGAGCTATCAAGACTCGTGTCAGTGTATTCATGTCTTCAGTGAAGAACAAATACCTTTTTTCACAGCAGGGATTCAGTCTTCTCTCTGTGTGTTTGTGCAGCACCTATGACAAGGTCTTGAGTTCCCTTTCTGTCCGATACTATGTCACAAATATTAAAGTACAAAATAGAGCACTATAATTATCCCAAACAATAGTTTTGCTCAGTTATGAGAATGAAGTTCTTAGTTTTACAAAATAGGCTGTACATTATATATTAAAAAAAAAAAAAGACAATCAAGCATATTTTTCCACAGCTTCTTGAAACTGTCCATTAAAAAGTCTGTTTAGGATCTGACATTCAGGCTCTATTTAGCCTGAGAAAGTCCGTGAGGACAGAGCAGTTGAGACAGGTGAAAAAAAAATGACAGTGTAGGGATTGTTTTCTTTTGTGATTAACTCCTCTACCAGAGGCTGAACGAACAGGTAGCTGTTCAGCCAAGGTCTGAAAGTCTGATAAGAGCTGGGGTATTCAGTTGCTTGTAGGATTAATCCAGACAGAATTCACATCCACACAGGCTAAAACTGACACCTGAGGAGGAGTCCTGAGAGTAGACCAGTGCAGCAGCCTGCAGTCTTGGAGCAGCCCTCTACCTGCATCCCTGAAAGGCAGAGACCGATAAAACGTTGGGTCTGGGCAGAAACCCAGTGACCAGAATATGGAGTTAACTGGACACCCAAGTTTCTTGCAGTTTCTTCTGCAAGTGTTACTGAATGGAGACATCCTATAGCTCCTGCTATGCTGATTTTGGAGTATGCTTTGCCAGTGACATTGTAATCCTTCAAGACTTTCAGTGAATGAGAACAAGGGACTGTGCAATTGTGTTGGGTTGCAGATCACTGTAGCAATTAATTGTATATATTTCAGTCAAATGTTTGTAGCAAAGATCTCTTCCCTTTAGTATCTATAGAACTGTTGTCTATTTTTTATGCATTGTGCATCTTATTTAAACAGCCTTCTTAATTTGATGGCACATTTTTTTCACCTCCACAATTTCTGTTTATTCTGTATATTATAAGCTTTTATGTCATGTTTTACTAACAGATCTGAACTTTGAAACTGTTGAAACTAAAGCCCTTTTTCCATAGTTTATATTTCCATTTTCTTGTATTTGTTTTCATTAATCATGGCTTCCCTCACAGGTGGTTTCTTTTATTACCTTGTTATTGATGCGACCAAAGCACAATTTTTTTTTTCCCTCTTGTACATTTACTTTTCCCCATTTGAGTTATGCCTGTTGCATTTATAAATGACCATGCCTGCAAGGCATTGGGGCACTTAGATGAAAAATGCTGATGCTGAAGTCAGAGCTTTGAGACACTCATGTCTATTTGCAGTTAATTTAGGCAGCCTCCACAGCTCATGGATTTCTATCTATCTGCATCCAGATCTCTGGGCAGTTACGTTCTGCTTCTTGCATTGCAAATAGAAAGAAGAAGAAGAAAAAAGAGGAATATACAAGAGTATAATAATAAAGCATGTGAAGGGTCAAAATGTCTTGATGGATTTTTTTTTTTCTTCTCTATATTCTGAAAGAATGATGTCTGTTCAGCTTTGGGAGAAGACATATTACAAAAAATTGATGAATGGACATAAAATAAGGCATTGTATATAGAAGGTGAAATTGGTGTTGTTTTTTTTTTTTCTCTCTTTTTTTTTTTTTTCTTTTTTTTTTTCCCTACTGATAGAGAGGAATCACCCCAGAGCACAGAGTAGAGACAAGTTTAAAAATACATTTTCTTTTCCCTCCCAAAGGTGTAAATAACATTAAATGGTGAAACATATTGCCTTGACTTCCAGATCTCACAGATATATGAATCTTTAAATAGAGTCTTTATATAACAAATATAACAATATATATAACAAATTTAGAATTCCCCACTGTACTACTGTTACTTTTTTTTTGTCCTCTTGATATTGAGCAAAATTTCTATAGAAATACAAAGACATGATGGTGGATCTTACTGTACTTCAATAGATCTCAGCTAGAAGGATTCTTCTCAACAGCTTTGGTGATAGGACAACAAGTGACATGGTGGATCATAGCAGAGGAAGAAAGGACTATGCTAGCAGCAGGCCATACTGCAAGTGATAGTCTGCACTCCAGCTCATGGGGGTAATAGAAGTATTTTCTTCAAACTGGTGGGAGACCTTTGACTAAACTTGCTGGGAGCTGACAAGATAGGGTTGAGCTACACAATTTTTTCATCTCTAATCTTCTGGCAGTGCCTTAAATATCTAAGAATAAAAATATAAACAAAGCCTATACACAGTCAAAACCTAGGACCCCTGTGCTGAGCTTACTTATAGCCAGCGTGACCAACTAGGGACTTGTATATCATTTATCCTCCGCTCCCAGGTTGCTGCTACATTTGTCTTGGACACCTATGGACATTGTTCCTCTCTAAGGACGCTAAGAAAGGAGCTAAGGAAGTTCTGGGCCTGATCTGCCAAAACTGAAATAAATTCTCCTCTCTTTACATAGGTTTGGATCAGGATATCTGGGACAGGAAAGGGAGCTTAAGCTTTGGATCATGGAAGAGAAAGAGGAGAAAAGCACAACTGTCAATAAACCTTGACCCTCTTAACTGATGGCTGTTGTAGGAGAATACATTGGTCCACTTGCTGCCACAGATTACTTAAGACTTTTTCTCCTTCCTTTTTTCTCTTTGGTATAATTTGAGAAAAACAGATATTTTTCTCTCTTGATGCTGGAAGTGGCACATTTTTTGTCCTTTTCAGCAGCATACAAAGCAAAGACATTAAAACAGCCAAAGACCGTCAAAATGCAGCATGGCAGGATTGTAAAACTGAGTCCACCTCTGTCCTGGAAATAGCCTAATTTTATTTCCTACCTGCCATGTCACCATAATAAATAGGAACACCTTTGACCATATCTGCAGACCTGTGGGAAGGGCATTCCTTATTTCTCCAGCCAGGTTCAGTGCAAAAATTGAGCTCAGCCTCTGTGCAGTCAGGCTCTTTTATTTATTTTTTTCCTTTCTGCCCCCTTGTCCATTATTAATCAGAAGATTTATTATTGCTCGTACTGGATTTTTATTGCATTAGCTACTCAGGGTCAGCACTTGCCTGCTCACAGAGTCTGCAGTAAAGCACCTGCCCTCTCCAATAGAGGTAAAATCTGATCCTAAATGAAAACCCACACTAAAGATATTTTATCCTCTCCTCATTCTTACTGTATTTATCCCAAACAATTCTGTGAATGTTGGAGGATATAAAGCTGGCTTGGGGGCAGTCAGAAACTGACTTTTGGTGGGTACAAATTCCAATGCCTAATGATATTTTCTTCACGGTTCTTCCATCAAAGGAAAGTATGGGTGTCAGAACACCATTAAACTGCAATCCCATGTGCAGTGTAACACAATCTTTTACTGAGGTATACCTCTTAGGGAATGAATTTACAGGTATTGAAAGAAATGTATTCAGTACGAATAACAAAATATGAATAATGAAATATGAAAATGTTATTTTAACTGAACAATTTAAAACTTTGCATGAACTTTTGGCTGACATACTAATCTGTATTGAAGTGAGCCGGGCTGTTTCCTGCCGCTGCTTCAGAATGACAGTGAACCACCCTATGTCTTCTCCTTTCCTTTTCCTCTCTTGGTTTGTCTCTATTTGTATGCTTGCTGTAAGGCAATGGGACACTGATTAGTCTCTGCAGTAATAGAAATAGCAGGAGGATTAAAAAATGAAAACAAACAAACAAAACACTTCTTTGTTGTTGTTTTTCTTTTATTAGTTTTACTTGAGTAATCTTTTAATGCTCATGACTGTGGAGAAGAGTTTAAAAATTCTAGAACTCAAAACCTAAAATCCAGAAGGTAAATCAAGCAAACCCCTCCTCTCTTCACTTTTGAAGTCATTAGCTCAGGGAGTCTTGATTTGCAGTTTTACTGCAACTACAGTCCAAGGAGCTGTAGTGAAAACTATGTTTAGTCTGACTAAAAGGAAGTCTGATCTATGAAGACAAGACAAGGCCAGACACCTCTGTTCTCTTCTGAAAAGATTGAACAGCCAAGAAGGTGGCTTTGCACCTCTGTGTGTCTTGGAGAAACTTTCCATCTACTGAGTATGATCCTGTAAACCTGCCTGAGAAGGCTGCCTCTCCACCAGACCATCACCAGAGCCACCAATGTGCAGAAGTGGGACTTTGGCAGCATGGATCTGCCTGGTGAGGCTGCACTGATACACATTGGCTGAAGATCTGGCCTCCCAGTCACCCCAGTACACTGCTGGTTAATGCTAGCGGGGCATCTGGGTCTACTGCAAAAGAAACAACACCTCCAGGCTGTCTCAGCATTTCAAAGAGCACAGGCATATGCTGCAGTTATATAGCTGCTGAGAAATAACGGTACGTGGGTGAATCTCTGTTGCTAGTAGAGTAAGTGCTGGGTCTTGCACACATGATCCATGGGATCCATACTGCAAGCAGCTGCCACTGCCATTCCCTTGCTCCAGCCCAGAGACCAGAGATTGAGTCCTCATCTATCGTTCTCCAGCCAGCCTGAGAAGACCTGGCACAACACAGTTGTCAGCCAGATTGGCTCTGACAAGTATCATATGCTTTACTGCACCCATTAAATGCCTGCCTCTCTCACCAGTCTCACTGTCATTCATCCTGAAGAGCAGGTGCATTAGCATCTTTGTGTAACAGCCTAGGAGGCAAAAATTAACCAGATTTGCCAGGTATAACTGTTGTTTGGTGAGGGGAGGGATAGACAGTCTTTCCTTTACATATCAGAGGATTGTCTCTGCCCCTTCTGTCCTTCTCACCACCTGTCCTGATTGTGTCATAGAGTGGCTATTAAGCACTTCTTGTAAATAATCTCCCTGCAGTTGGAAGATGCCTCAGAGCTCATGTTACTCACATTTGTCAAAACCAAGCAAAAATAGTAAAATATCCTTCCAGTGTCATGAGGCTTTGGGCTGGCTTTCTTCACACTGTATTCAGCTAAAAGCACCTTTTGAATCCTTATTTCAGGATGAAGATTGTTGTGTGCCCCAGGAAGACTTCCTGCTACTTCAAGCTGCAAGGGTCTTGTGGGATGCATCAAATCTCCTTTTTACTGCCACACAGTTTTGCACGTTAGTGCCCATGTATAAATATTACTTCTCATTAATAATCTTTTTGACCCAGGAGCTCACCTGTGATCTGCTCTCTCATGCTATACCCCTTCTTGAGAGCTTTCCATTGCTTTAATGTATCAATGAACAGATGTTAAAATACGTAGAGCCACAGCTATATGGAAGCCAGAGGCAGTTGTTTTGTGTTGAGTCAGGTGCTGCATAGTTTCACAGCATCCGGTACAATATAACCCTGATCCCAAATGAGAGAAGGCACTGTTAGCCCTCCCGTTATTTTGTGACAATAATACTATATAATTAATAAGTATATTTCCTCTCACAGGGTTACGAAGTAACTATTTCTTCAGAGTTTGTACCTTAGTCAGGACACACAAGGGCAAAGAGTTATTATTGCTAAACATTAGTGAAGAGCTCTTCAGTCCTGCCATCCAGACACCTCCAGCCAGCCTATCATGAGATGTTCTATTTACCCTAGTGCCCTTGCACCCTTGTCAGTTTCATTTTGAAGTAACTCAAATGCAGCTCAGACTAATCTCAAGTGATGTCTGAATTTCATTAATACAGGTTCAGTCTGACTCCTTTAGCTCATCCTGCCATTGCCACGTTGAGAGTAAAAGCACTTCTTGTGAAAGCATAAATCAAATCCCCACAACTACATGGTGGAGTCACAAGTGCCCATTTTGACAGTCCAGCACGGCTCTGTTAAGTTGGATGCCCCATTTTGCTAGTGAGGATGCTGTCAAACGGGAAATGCTGCAGCACAGAATTGGTGCTCTCTACTAAGAGATCGTGGTTCAAAGAGTTTATGAGTGTGTTAGAGAAATTAACATTTCATTATGACCTTTCCTTAGCATGATGAGACATAATTACCCCACAGGGACTTTGCCACTTGCCCACATCAGGACAGCAATGTTTACAATTCTTGCTGTTTCAGTATTCAGTGCAACAGGAATGTTGTTGTTTCACCATCTTATAATGACAGACCCAGCTCTTTTACTCTACAGCCCAGCCAAAGTGTCAAGAAAAAGACACAGACTTTTTGAATGGTACATGAACAGGAACTGACCTGTTGTTTAATCAGGGTCTCTACATTAGTTATTCCTGCTGTGATCCTGGGGGAATCACTAGTTAAATCCAAAGTAATGCAATTAATTAGGGTAGACTAAGAAGCTTCATTGTAATTTTGTTATAATAACCTTCCCCATTTTGTAAGCTATCATTTTCACTAAATTAGATATTCAGGATGAAAGAGCACAGCACTCCCAGGCAGGCTTCCCTGGTACTGGCTGTCATTAGATGATGCCGTAACATGTGCCAAAGGAAGTTCAGCTGAGGTGATAATATTGGCATGTACAACTTGGACATCCACAGTAGTTTGGTGGGAGGCTGAAACATCACTGGTGTTGGGAGGAAACTCTGCAAGCGGTGGGTTAGTTGGTGGGAGGTGAGACTGGCAGAGAACTGAGTTTGTGCTGAGCTGTGGGCTACTCAGAAGTCTCTCTGTGGAGCTGACATGAGCTGCTGTCTGTGGACACAATCATTTTCCTTGCGTCACTCCAGTGTGTGCACCATGACGGGCCCAACGGCTGACTTTTTTTTTATTTTCCCAAGGAAAATTATTTACTGTTGCTTGTTTTTCTACAGCAAGATATTAATAAACTGTTAGATAAAGCAGACAGGGTATGCTTTGTTCCCATTCTTTTACAGGCACTTGTACATAAAGCACTCAGCTCCTCGCTGTACCAGTCTGCAGCAATGGCTGATGTTACGCAAAGTTAACTAAGCCCCCCATCAGGTAACTAGCAACTAGCAAAGGTAACTAAGATCCCCATCAGCATTATGGACAGGAATGAGAACAGAAAACAAGGCTGGAAAAATCAGACTAGGTTTTTCTTCTGAATGCAGGCAAGTAAATATCCATTAATAAGGAAAGAACATAGGACGGGGACAAAAAATGTAGGAATCCACAGAGGTAGAGGCAGAAGTTCATTAGCATCTGCTCCTTTTTGGTGTGTGTGTGAGACCAGGGGATTTTTTCACCATTAATACACGTGGGGCTTTGCAGGTTCCTAGCTACCACCAAATCGATTTTAGCAAGACTCCTGGTATTTCTCTGTGGTCTGTGATAGTTTCCTACAGCTCTGGTTATAACCTCTTCCCCTACACACTGCAGTCCAACCTTGCAACGGCCTTGTGTGTCACCCCAGCCCTCTCCATTTCCTGCTTATGTGTCTCCTGAAAAGTCCTGTAGCTGCAGTGAGGACAACATAATTCAGACAGAAACAAGAGGAAGACAAAAGCGTAAGGGTTGACTTGAGTAAATATTCCCTGGAAGGGGGATCCCCAGGACATCTGCGTACAGAAAAGATACAGAAATTTCTGCATAGAGAAAGACACAAGGCAGGGCCTGGATGCAGGAAGACAAGGAAGCAAAAGAGTGGAGGAAGACAAGGATCAAATGCAAAGACAGACAAGACTTTTTTTTTTTCTTTCTTTTTTTTTTTTTTTTCCTTCCTTTTCCATCCTTACCACCTAAACTATCTCTGAGGAGGTGTGGCTGTCTTTTGTTATGCTTCTGGCCTTTTGTTATGCTCCTGCTGCCTGTTATGGGGTATTTCAGTGAGCAAGAGATGGGGTTTCTAGACACTACCACAATATAAATGATAATAGTGGGCAGGGTGAGATTTCAGAGCTGATGGACTTGAAATTATTAGTGCCTAGTGCTGAGTAAAAGCACCCACAGTGCCAGGCAGGATTTGTTTGAGTGGGTAACCCACCTGTGGTTTTTCAGTGGTGACTGCCCTGTTCCAGCTGTGTGCCTCCAGCTAAGAAGCTCTAAATTATTTACCAGGGCAGCAAATTAACACCAAGAAGCACCAACACCTGAATGCTCAGTAAGTCATATATAAAACATGCTTCCTTTTGTGAGGCTATGGCATGCTGGCAGAAAGGAAGCTGAGGAGGGAAGGCTCATGGGAGATGAAGCATTTGGGGTTGGCAGGGCATCTTCAAGACAGCCTAATAATGAGGGCAGTGATTCAAAGTCAAGTTTTTCAGGTGTTCTGTGAGTTAGCATGATTGGCGAGAAAAAGAAAGTAAAAGAACAGAAGTGGCATCACATGGAGGGCTCTACAGCAAGTACGGGAAATGAGAACAGAGAGAGAATTTTCTTTCATTGCTTCTTCCCAGGTATGTTTTCTATGCATATGGAGTACAGCTATAGAAGCCTCTGGCTTTCTGTAAAGCAAACAAAAACACATCAGGAGTGTTAAATAGCCCTGGCCACCTGCAGGGGACTGAAATGTGCTTTTAGATCCACAGCCCCCTGCCACACTTGCCTCTCCCCAGAGACTCTGATTTCAAGTGTGCTGAGCTCTAAACCTTTGCTCCAAAAGCAGTCAGATCCCTAGGGTAAGTAATCCTTCACTATGCTAGTCCTTGAAACTCTTGTACATCTCTCAATGAAATATTCCTCAGGGTCTACTATATGAGGATTTTAGGCTACTCAGTTTGATGAAACCCTAAGGAGTTGTTTTTCTCTAAATCCAATATTCTGGAAGGGATCATTGCAACTTTAGCTCAGTTTGTGTGTGGAAGCAACCTACAAATTTCTCTTTTAATAAGAAATGAAACATCCTTTCATTTGGAGAAGGTTTCTCATGGTACTAAGGCTTTCATGACAAAATACTTCAATGAACGGTCTTTCCAAAAAAGCCTGTGTTGGTTCCAGGCAGATTTCTTGGCTAGTCATGTAATCTGCTCTGAAAGAGAGCCAGGTATTTCTGTTAGCCTTCTAGGAGGCAGTGAATCAACCTAAAAGTTCTGTTTTAATAGTGTGTGTGTGTTTGGGGGTCAGCTATTTAGTTGTGCTGGATGAGCCTTACAGCTAGTGCAACATTACCCTAGGGTTTATCTTCCTTTTCCTTTGCTTATAGAGGATTACCTATAGGGGCTGAAGCTTCCCAGCAGGTGGGTATTTAAGGGGAATTTGCTCTGTAATCCAGAAGTGCAGGTGCCAGTCACTGACTGGAGCAGCTGGGCTACTTCCACTACCACAGTCCTCAAAATAATTCCAATGTTGTACTTGAGACACTGGCTGAGGAAGGCACTTCCCCTCTGTGCTTGCATGTTGTGTAAGTGTGTGACTGTAAACTAAAGAGCTTTCTAATTGTCTGGAGGCTTGCCACAGATGTTTTGAGCTGGAAAAAAGATCTCACAAAAAGGAGAATAGAGAATCCTCTCTACGTGCAAAGGGAGTAGAGAGGAGACTTTTACCAAATTCTGCATGTCCACAGAAGTTCAGAGGTAGATTTTCTGTGAGCCTGTTCTAAAATACCACACTCAGTGCAGGTCAGTCAGATTTTGGGCCCTGTTCCTCTGTCTCCAAGCTAGGCTCTTGCAGGAATAATTAAGCATTAGTCAGTTAACTAAATCTGACACTACCCTCACAAATACCATTAAGTCTAACTCTCTACAGAGTCCCAGTTTGAAGTTAGGGTTTGTGTGGGCAATTAACTTTTCTTGCTCTGTCCCCTCATGATCTTCAACAAATTCCTTCTAGGTTGTAATGATGTTGATTGCCAGTGTATGTGCCTCTTTAATAAATTAATGGTAATAACAAATATTTATGCATCCTTCATTATGGGATATGGAAATGACTTTACTCTGGAGCTGAGATTGCTGGAGCTTGGCTGCATTTGCTGGAGGGGTGCACATGGGGGTTTTGTTAATTTATTGTGTATGGCACAGAATTTCGCCTGTCACCTCTTGGAGTTCTCAACCTTTTGAATATTCAATGCTTGCTTTTCCCAGCAATGGAAATACAATTCAGTGGAACAAAAATAACTTCTGCGTTGGAAGAACTTGAAATCATATGTTCAGCCTCACAGGATCCGGGATCAAGTGGAAGGCAGGAATCTCTTTACTGCCACTTTTGTCTCCCTGTTTTAAGAATACAATTTGTTACCTCTCGTACAAGTATTTGCTGGGGTGATGTCTTGAGACTTCATCTAGCAACTGGATAAGAAAAATCTCAAAGTATCCATAAGACCTTCACTATTCAAATACAGCAGGAAGGTACAATCCTGGTATCTCCTGAAAGACATCAGGGGGAAAAGAAAGGGAAATGTAAACTGAGGAATTAGAATTAATTTCTGTTGCTAATTTTGTGCAAGCTTCCTCTGTGTGGTTCAGTACACTTGGTGTTCTCTCGTTTAGAAGGACAGGACTTCTGCTGTCTTTCCCTATAGTTTCAAGTATCCCATATTTCTTCAACTGAAGATGTTGCATTCAGTTGAGTCATGTTAAAAATTACCTGAAGGAAATGGACACTACCATAATTAGTGACTACTAAATGTTTGTTCTTCCCCAGACCTCCTAGGTCTAAAGCCACTGAAAACAAATCAGTGAGAATTAAAACATTTCTGTATATCTTTTTCCTTCTTCACTAACACTTTTTCCTTCCTATCCTGTGTGTAGTGATCTCACCTGTACTGACAGTCTGTGCTCCATCTTCAGGCTTGAGTTTGTTATCCCCAGTGGGATAACTTTTGTGAATCAACCACATGGACACCAGGGTTCTTTTAGGATCAGTAACTGCTACTTTATTGGTGACGTAACTTCATCTCTCTCTTACTGAGGGCCTAATTTCATCTATCATATCGATGACATAACTTAATTACTCTTGTTGCATCCCCATATTGAGGACAGGTTCCCTTCTTATACTGTTTGCCCTACAGCAGTACTTTTCCAATAACTATTCATTGGTCAACAACTTTGCCCAGCAACAGCAAACACCCAGTAACTTCCATGCCTTAACAGCTGGAGAACAAGCAACCTGAGACAACAAGGCATCTCCTGAATCACCCTTCTTTGTTCCCTCTAAACCCTTTACATTTCTGATGGTCTCATCGTGAAGAGCCCATTGTTATCACCAACCATGGGGCTTGTCAACCACCATGGCCACACTCCCCCATATAACTAATACTTGCTCTGATGAAGAGCTGTCTGTAGCATCCCAGTCTATTTTGATGTCACTTGGGCAATTTTCTTCTTAAAGAGCTAGGACCATGAGCTGACATTGACATTGGGTCAGAAGGGGTACCTTTTGACTGCACAAATGCTAGAATAAAAGATTGAGTGCAAAATACCCTTATTCTCGCTCTGTTTCAGTTTCGTCCCTTTCTAATGTTGAATTCAAGTTGCTATGTCCTATATTAAAACTCAAACACTAGATCACCTGGCCAACACAACTTGTGTAACGACACACTGTATTTGGAATGCATCAAACAGGACAAATTTTAATCTATCATGACCATTACATTATTCATCCTGCAGCTGAATAATTTCTCTTTGATAATAACTTGTGACAGTCAATCTGATGTCATTCCACTCACAACTACTCTTTACACTACAGCAAAGGAAGAATTTCAGACAAATATGGTACCAAGTTTTAATCATTGTCATCACAGTCACACTAATCTTGTTTCTCTATATTTCCTTTATTTCCTTTTTTTTTTCTCCTGTTGAGTTACATAGGCACTAGTGACATGATCTGTTTTTCTCTTTGCTTCGGAGACGAACATGTACACAGGCAAGTTCTAAAATATTTCATTGAAGGCAGAGAGGGGCCTTCTGGAGCTACATTGCTCACATTCTCCTGATTTAAACACACAGCCCATTTGCCTTGTTTTAATCTTAATGGTTGTCTGGTCTAGGTCTTCTGTTGTACTTTTATGAGCCAGCAGAATTATAGCTTGCTTTATAGGCTGTTATTCCTGATGGCTCCTTCTGTTTTCAAGGTTATATATGCTTTTTTAAATGCAGCTGTTAACCAAATGCCCTGGTAGAAAGCTCTGAGCTGCTTGTTTGCTAACAAGAAACAGATTCTTAAACTGTGAAACCAACCTGGTTATTTCTTCTTTGTCCTTATCATAGGAAATTAGCCATGGAATATAGAGAAGTGATGGAAGGACAGGAGGAAATACTGTGCCTTAGAAAATGTCTTTATTTAGCCTGCAGAAAGCCTGAGGTCTAGCCAAGAAGGTAATGTAAAAAAACCTGCATATTCAATCTGCTCCTTTTATATCCTATTTCCATAGAGCTTTCAACCTTGCAAACCCTCAGTGATGTCTTTTTTTAAGACCTGGTTAGCAAATACATGCGAAAGAAGAGCTGGCCACAACTGTAACACTGTCAGTATTCATATGGATGAACGTGTCACTTCTCCTGCCTCAATGAGAAATTAAGAAAGTTTTTTTCTCTCTGCTCTGAACTTTATAGTGTTTCTTCAGCATTAAAAAAAAAAACAAAAAAAAAACCACTAAATTGCAGATGATAGAGACAGTTGTCTGGGACAGCCTCTATTTTGTTCATCCCAAGCATTTTTTTTGTTGGCAAAGCCAAAATAAAGGAGGTCTGTGAAGTTCGGCCAACTTGCAAATGGGTTATTCTGCTATGAGAACACAGCCTACTATATGGCAGCAGCTCTGCTTTCCTTCGGGACCACTTATGGTTGTGTCCCTGCTATATCCTAATTAGCCCAGAGGAGAAAATGCCTGGCTTTATCTCCAGAAATAGGTGACCATCACCTTGTTGTGGATGCAATTTCCTCCCAGAGGATGGAAATAGTATAAGTATCAGCAGCTATGGCTGAGAGAGCACCAAGTTCTCAGTGTATTTTGGCAGTCTTGGTCATTCTCTAAGATTGAGATAGCTAAAGAAGATAAGGGAGCAAACCTTTTGCCCTGTTTGCCCTGCTTTCTCATGTTTTAGTATAAATTAAATATTTGTATTCTTTTTTTCCTACTTGCTGCCTGATGTTATGGTACTCCTTCTTATAAGCATATATTATTCCTTAGAGACAAAGAAATAACATAGATTTTAAAAAGTGGATGCATGATACTTTTTTTTTTTTTTTTTTTTTTTTTTTTTTTTTTTTTTAACAAACCACCCCAAGAATCATTTTAAATGCTTTAGAATGGAGCTTTTGTAGGGATACTTCATTGCCACATTGTTTTTCTCCAGGGTTTATTGCAATTACTGGAAATGATTTGAAATTTGACTTGGGCATAAAAGATATGTTAGGGAGTAGATAAGGTATGAAACATATAGTGAAACATAGCATGTACTTTTCTAAAGTTCTATCTACTTTTGCATTTACATCCTCTAACTGTAAGGAGCCAGATTCAGGGTGACAGGATCAAAATGATCCCTTTACCTTTGTGAGGCTGCTGCAGAATTGGTGGGTCTTTTTTGCTATATAGCAAATGTTCTCAAACATTTAATTAATTTATTTATTTAATTTATTAAGTACTTTGTTCAGACAACTAGGCCTCTTAAAATGGATGGAGTCCATCCTTATTCTGAGAAATAATTACTACCTTTATTTAATACAGAAACCTTTATTTGTTTGCTATGAATCATTTTAAGTTTTATGATCCATAGTTTTGCATGGTATGCATGTTTTCAACATGAGCACTGGATTTAAAGCTTAACATTAGAAGTCTATACCTGGAGTTCAGGAATTTTTCTGAACCTAATCCAGTGGAGATGATGGTTGAGTGTTAACTTTCTCCAAGCTATTCTTCAAACATATCATATGCTGCTGTCAAAACCTCTCTTGAGTCTTCTCCAAGGTTGCTTGCCAACAAGGAAATCCATCTAGAACTTATGTGAATTTTTTAATGTCACTCTCGACATGCATCTTTGACAGCAATTCCATTGCGGTTTCATAATTCATTTACCCCAGCAAACCTGAAGCTGAGCCTTTTGATTTTTTTTATTTTTCTTTTTTATTTTGGGAATAGATCTGATAACCTGGTAAAACAACACTAAACTGTCACAAGAGGAAGAAGAAAATACTAGTTTTCAATTCTTTTATTCTAATAAGTACATTATTACTTAGGCTGAAGCTTGTTTCTGTGAACCAGACCTTTCTTTCTGAGAATTCAGGATTCTGTTTCTGATTGTCTTTTTTTCCTGATTTAAATAGTGGTCCATAAATCACATTTAAAAATTTTTTTTTTTTTTTCAGAATTGATTATGAATGTTCTCATATTGAATGTCTGATCTCCCTGAGGTTGGTGTTCTGTTTCTCGCTACCTTCCACAATGATGTCAGGAGTATAAAACACCTTGAATGGTTGCTATGGTTCTGTTCACAAACACATCTTCTAGAAGTCTTTCTGTCTTCACATAGTTCAAGTCACAGTTTTACGATACCTGCAATTTAGAGGCAAAGCTGCCCTGAGAATAAATGAAGGACTGTTTTTAACCTTAATATAATTTGCATTGTCCCACAAATATTTATACCAGTAAACTGTGAGAGTGCTGTTTTAGGGGTGTAGGAGCAGAAAGCAGGAGGGAGTAATAAGCCAGGAGAGGAATGACCTGTGAAGTTGGAATCTCATGATACTACAGCCTTGGAGAAACTGCAGCGTAAATCAGACTCACCACAGTCCCTGGAGTATACACTGACCTGGCTGCTCTGATGCTTGTGCACTTGGATTGACACTCTCCTACTAGAAACTCTTCATATTTTGAAGATGAAGGAAGGTGAAGAACTTGCAGCTGGCTCCAACCACTGGCACTGAGTTCTAAATGGTGTTACAACATCATTAGCTCTGCTGCTATTTCTACATTTAGTCTCATCACTTATTAGGAGCAACATTAGAAACAATATATATTCTGTAAATGGAAACAACACAGAAAAAGATGCTTTAAGTCACTATTCAGCTATTAAAAAAAAAAAACGTTCTTAGTATATTGAGTAATTGTACTAAAGCTGATATCACAAGCTATTTCTAAGTGATAATTGAATTAGTCCCAAGTGGTTAAAATTTCCTTAAAAAAGGAAAACCCCCTCCTCCCCCAAAAACAAAAAAAAACCACAAACAAACAAAAAAAAAACAAAAACAACAAACAAAAAATACAAAACAAAACAGAAATGCTTTTAAATATTGATCCTTCATATTTTCCAGGTAGGAAGTAAGAAAAGCTATGCATTCTTATTGGTTTTTCTTCCTACTAAGACAGAAATAAAATCCATATTTATGTACAAAGTAATATTTTTTTTTAAAGCTACAGATGAAATGCTCTAACATCTGTATTTCACTGTTTGTACTTAGGCACTGCTTGCTGCTGCAGTTGCTTTGACATTTCCATTTTAATTTCTGTGGAGAAAAGGAAGCTAGTAAGAATATGGGCTGCAAAGCACACTGAGGCTCAAGTTCCTGACATGAGAAATTTCTTACTGTTATTATTAGCAGTAGCATCAAAAGAATGTCTAAAATCTGAGCTAACAAAATTCTTCTGTGACAGCCACTAGATAGGCGCTTGATGGGGGAGAGAATTCCTTTCCCAGTCATTTTACAGTAAAAAATAGCCAAGAAGAACAGAATAGTCACCTTCAGCCTATTTTTAGGGATTGCAAACTGGGGAATTAGATGGGGAATGAGATGAAGACAGGGTTTTCCCACATCACAGGAAAGCTACAGTTTTGGGTACTTATCAGGCATTACACTCAGTTCTTTCAACCATAAGAGGTTCCCACTTTCACCTAGAAATGGTAGAGGTGAGTGTAATTCTGCACAGCTCAGTTCTTGGCATCTGTCTAAAGACTGCATGGTGCGACTAATACAGTTTAGTGAGAAAGGACACTCTTGCCATGACTGGGAAAGGCTAAGATGTCAGGATACCAAAACTATCTTACAAGATTGTTCTCTTCTTCCATGCAGTAATTTTTTCAAAAAGTTGTTCAGCAATTTCTCCTGGATCTCAATTGAAACAGAATAAATTGGTCTGCTTATTGGAAGCAGTCCATTTTCTTCATTAACACTGCAAAACAAAAGTCTCTCTTGGATGCAATGAACTGACAGTGAGATAATATTCATAGTGGTGGACTATAGATGGACTGCGAGTGAGCTGAACTTGGATGACTCAGATGTTTCTGATCATGTGAAAATATCCTTAAGCACTGACACCAAATGAGAGCACAGCTATTCTCTCACCTTATCTCTTCCCACTTACTAGAGAAGGAAAAACTGGGCCCTTGGGAAAGATGTCTGGTAGCGGGCTGTCATCATCAAAACAATTTGTCCAACCTGTGCTTCTTCCATTTCTCTTTCCTAAGAAGTCACCAGGAATGGCATGAAGGAATTGCAAGCTTTGTGCAACATTCAGGGGCAGGTTGAAGGATAAGCATCTGACCTTTACAGGAGTTTTTTTTTCTTTTTTTTTTTTTTTTTTTTTCTCCATGTACAGAAGAACTTCCCAAAATATTTCACATGAACTGTAAAGCCAGGAGCATCCTACCAGGTACTTCTTCCAACTCTAATATTTTTCCAAGAGAACAGGTGATGTTTGCATTAGGAGCAGTTTGGTTCCCCAACCTGTGGAGACTTACACTGCAACACTTTTGATTGGAGTTAGCAGGGTAAGGCAGCAAAATTAATTAGGGGTGTTAATTTCTTATATTAGTGCTTGGATTCTGTTCATTTTTTTTCACATGTACTAACCATAATTTGTGCAACTTCCTTTAGCTTTGCTTTAAAAGCTATTTAAACCATGAGCATCTCAGGAACCTGCTGCAGAATATAGATATACTTTCTTGAATTGTTATCCTGTCTCCCAGTAAGAGAGCTTTGTGCTGTTAATTACAGCCTGAAGCCATTGAATACTACTGCTGTGTTAAAGTAAGTGGAAGGAATGCTCTATGTCTCTGAACACACACCACTGAGCATGATGGGTTCTTTGTAATCTTGGTAATTTTTTGGGGGGTGATAATTTCACAATTCTTAAGAAATATTTTGTCGTATTAAGCGATGTGGTTGAAAGTCCTGTTTAATTATTGATGCACTGAGAGCATCAGTATGGATCTAACCTACTATCAGATGGTGACTCCTCCTGTACGATGAAGGTTGAATCTTCAGGAATGGCATGTTGATGAATTGATGCAGGGTTCATTGCCAGCACTGTCTTGCATATTTTATGAGACAAGCAAACGATAGGAAAGCAGGCTGAGTTTTCTCCTGGAAATTCTACTTTTTTAACAAAGAATGAGACAAAAGGCAAGCTCTCTACACCACAGAAGAAAGTTTTCATATAAAATCAGTTATTTTTTTCTCTACCTTGTGTGATCTTTGCCATTGAGAGAATTAATTTGTCCTTTTCAGTGTCTATTTCCCTAATTTTGTGAAAGCTGTGATGACTAACAAACTCATTCCCTAATCTACTTTGTATAAGCATACAGGAATAACTGCAGGTACTTTTCTGGAGCATTGTACAACATACCTGGTTGCTGTAAAAAATCACGCTGAAGATGATCTGACATAAATAAGGCCCAGAGTTAAATGTATGGGTGTGCAAAGTGATCAGCAGCCAATTCTCTGTACAAAAAGATAATTTCAGGTCTCTAGAAGATAGTCTTTTCCTGGACCGGTGTTTTTAGTGTTTTTCTTCTTTTTAGACAGCATAGGAGACTGGAAGATTTTTGAGTAGCTTCTCACAAAAGGTATGCTATGCCTTGATACTTTACATCACTTGTTGTACAGAGGGGAAGGAACCTGAAACCAACATTCACAGTAATTGTATCTATATCTGGGGACATCCCCTAAAAAATGAGTATTAATGCATTTGTTACACAGTATAGTTACATAACTATTTTGTGGACATAAGTTTTCAGTTTCCATCCTGTGCAGGTGGGCCATGGATCTGGCTTAACTGACAGATGTGATACAATGAATTTCCATAGCACAATTCAGAAATGATACTACTCTGAAAGTCACATGAGAAGACTTCCTTGAGAGAGGAGTAGAACAGAGGAACCATGGACTAGATGGGTTTCAGCAACCTCATCTAAGGCTGCATACAGATTGACATTGTATCAACTAGTGATAGCAGCCCTCCCAAGACTTAGGAGCCGAAGGTGAGGGTTGGCCCAAAGGCAAATAGGAGCCCAGATAATTTGTGGATGTCCCATCCCGGGAAGTTTTCCAGGGTAGGTTGAATGGAGGTGTTGACAATGTTGTCTTGTATCCAGGTCCATGTAAGGGGAGCTGTAATATGATCTTTATCATCCTTGCGAGGGGGAGTGGAGGGGCAGGCACTGACCTATTCTCCTTAATCATCAGTGATAGGACCTGTGGGAATGGTGTCAAACTGAGGCAGGGCAGGTTGCTAGACATCAGAAAGAGGTTCTTCACCGAGAGGGTGGTCACACACTGGAACAGGCTCCTCAGGCAAGTAGTCACTGCACTAAGCCTGTCTGAATTTAAGAAGCATGTTTGGACTGTGAGCTTAGTCACAGGGTCTAAAATTTTGGGTAGACCTGTGTGGTGCCAGGAGTTGGACTCCATGATCCTTGTGGGTTCCTTTCAAACTTGGGATATTCTATGATTCTATGATCCCTTCTAACTCAAACCATTCTTCGATTTTCCCCATCTACTGTAAGAGAAATACACTCAATATAGAATTTATTAACTCACATGTACTTATTACAGTAGAAGAACAATACAAATCCAGCCTGTTATAATCTGTCTCTATTGAATCTAGTCGCTAAAACAGTAAACCTGGAAAAGCTTCCAGTGATTATTTTATCAAACTTCAAACAGACACAAGAAAGCTCTACATAGTTTCTCAAGTAGCTAGCTAGCTCCTGTGTAGCTAGCTGGATTATCCAAGGTAGAGTAGATACAGTCCATAACACTCAGTGCTACTTAAAAAATCTTCCAACCAAGTTTTCTTTTAAATTTGGCTTGTGACACAATAAATTGCAAACTCTGCTTGATCCATGGTGTCCAGTACAGGTATATTTGATAAGAAGTCAGAGATCAGAACCTATTCCAACAAATATGCAGACTAGAACTTGGAAAATTATTGTAATCTGCAAGTTGAGAAGTGTGCCTGTATACCAAATTGTAGAGCACCATTGGAGAATGCTAGCATAACAAAACAAACCAACAACAACAACAACAAAAAATTAGATGAGAGATCTTTTAAATAATATAATTCTCCAATTTAGATCCAAGAACTCTTTCTCATTATCCAATGTCTCTATTCAGTACCCCCTGTGAAGAGATTAGCTGGGAATGTGAAAAACAAAGGCTGAGATCAGAGTAAGCATATGCCTGTAGTTGTTTAGTGCTGTTCACAAGTTGGTTAATAAGCTTTGCATTATGTTTTTTATTTATTTTAACCAATTTTATATATCAAATTTTATAATGCACTGTTCAAGTCCAATTTACACTGAATAACTACATATATTCATTTTGTTTTAAACTGTGCTATGATTGTTATATATTCAGCACCTTGTCTCATTAGATTTATAGATAAATGCTGCTCTATTTTTTTAATTTATAATTTATCATTCCTTCTGGTTGCATTTTCTTTCCAGAGATGATAATGCATCTCTCCACACTTGTATAGTGCCAAACGTGATTTAGAAATCAAGAAAGGAAACACTTGCAGAATTTTTATTCCACCACAGAGCAGAACAGAGGTCTACTTCTGCATGTCCATTTTAACATTTTCCTCCTACTAAGTCATATCTGAGTTTGTACCAGATATTATACATTAATATGACTTTGGATAGCCACCCTTTAAACTTGTCTCTGAATAACTACATTTGTTAACTACAAGCCTATCTTCCCTTGAATATACCTTCTGTAGCTCAGTTGGACTGGAAGCTGAGAACAAGATACAATGATCAGAAACTCAATTAAAGGTTCTTCTTTCCTGTAGTCAATATGCAATAGATTAACTTAATTTGAAAGAAAAACATAAACCTTAATAGAAGAGATGACATTTGAACTAAGCTACATGCATTCTTCAGAATTTTCCAGCTTGCATGGCAACAAAAGACAAAATGCAGATGTTTGCTATCACTCTCATGTTTGGACCCTAATGTAACA